AAGCATTGAGCATGGTGCCTGGATCACATTAAATGTTCAGTAAATGAGGGCGCCTGGGTGGCTCAGTCGGTTAAGTGTCCCAGCTTTGGCTCAGGTCATGATCCCATGGTTTATGAGTTCCAGCCCATCAGGCTCTGTGCTGACAGCTCAGAGCCGGGAGCTTGCTTCAGATTCTGTCTCTGCCTCTCTCTCTGCTCACCCCTCCCCCCACTTGCAGTCTTCCTCTCTCTCTCTCTCTCTCTCAAAAATAACATTAAAAAAAATTTTTAATGTTCAATAAATGGTGGTGTAAACATGGCCAGTGTTGGCAATTAGTGAACATATATACTAGACTGGAGTTTCTGTCATGGTCATCTGTGAGGCTCAGGACTTGACATCATTTGAAGGTTCTTTCATGGTTTAAAAATCAATTGTCTCTAGAATGTTGGTGCTGGACTTGCACACAGTGGTCACCCAGGTTTATCTACCTCTGCCTGTTAAGGTGTTTCTGAAAAACTCCCCAGTGACCTCAGATCAATCTGAAACTGTTAAAAAGGCAGAGAATTTTTTTTATTTTGTGGAAAGAAAGGACTGCTACATTTGTGACGGTGCCAGAGTGTGTTAAGATGAAAAGAATAAGACCCCTTTGAAGTTCTATCAGTTATTCATGTCACTTTATGGTTTGTTGACTTTTCTTAACAAGCCGGCACCTCACTGGGTCAGTTGGCCCGAAAAGAAACACAAGTTGCTTTTGGTAATACATGATGCACAAAAAGACTTGGAAAAGTGAACAGTGAATCAGGTATAAATGAGAAACAAGCATCCAAAGGTACCCATATTTGTCACTGGGTTTCTACAGGTTGCTTTTTTTTTTAATATGGGATGTGGTCTCAAACAGTAGGATCATTAATTTAACTTTTGTGGCATAAATGGTTGCAACCACACATATTGTTATAGCCAGAGCTACAGAAAAAAAAAGTAATCATTTGAATCCACAAATACATCTTTATAATTTTTAAACAATCATTCTATGGAGACAGTAGGTTGCCATGTTCCCTGTATAGAGCAAATCCGGCTCTTGACAAACCAAGTAACCACCATTCCCTTCCTATAGAGTTTTCAGTGAAGGAGACGATATCCCAGAGTTAAGCCCTACATCCACTTCACTTTAATGTGATTGCTTTGCTCAGGCTCACAAAATTGTCTTCATGTTTCACGGTGGTCACTATATCTACCAAAGGTCTAAAGGTGTTGAATTTAATAGACAATATAGTTCATGAAGAAAGAAAGAAAGAAAGAAAGAAAGAAAGAAAGAAAGAAAGAAAGAAAGAAAGAGAGAGAGAGAGAGAAAGAAAGAAAGAAAGAAAGAAAGAAAGAAAGAAAGAAAGAAAGAAAGAAAGAAAGGAGATAAGGAAGAAGGAAGCAAAGAAAAAAAGAGACAGGAAGAGAGGAATGGAGCTCTATTCCTGGTGGGTGTGTGACCCATAAAGGCCCTTCGTTTCCTTGGCCTTCCTTTCTTTATCAGTAGAAAAGCACGGAGCTAGTCCTTTGATTTTTAATGTTTCTTTTTCTTTAACAGTGAAGCTCTTTTTTTTCCCTAAACAAAATCAGTTGAACCCACTATATAAACACTGGATTTCAGTTTCCAGCAACTGATTTAAATGCACCCAATCTAATGCAAACCTCGGTCTTGCCATAAATACCTAAGAGTGCTAGATAAAGGAAAAATAAAAGAATTGTAAATACAGCGTTGAGGTGAGACTGGGAAAGTCCAGTCTGCAGGAAATACAGAGGAAACCTAATTCTACAAATGAAGCCTCAGATGCACAGATTATCATGGCCTAGGGATGGGATTTTAGTCCCTGGGCACAGATAGGAGATGAAGTTTTAGGCCTATTGTAAGGCCTAAAGCACAGGACTAAAGCCTGTGCCTAAAAACAAAAACTCACAAGGGCTGCCTTCTGTGTTTAACAGGGAGAGACTGTCTACCAGCCAGGAAGCAGTAAGTTCATCCTTGCATGGGGTTCCGTGTGGGGAAATGAAAAGTCTCTCCGGAGAAAATGGAGCCAAATCCTGTGTCACCCAAGGATGTAGATCTAAATTTAAGTGTCTTATATGATAGGAGAATTCTGAAAACAAAACAAAACAAAACAAAACAAAAAAAAACAAAAAAAAAAAACAAAAAAACAGAAACTGGCCCATGACACAAAACCTGTGAAGCCCTAGCAAATGTAATTGCTACCTGGAGGGAAATATCCACAATCTAGCATGCATGGGCCTTATAGAGAAAATAATAACACTCTAAAAAATGAGCCCCCAATAAAAACTAACCATGTAAGTTCATGAACTACCATAAAGGAAAGACAGCAGACCCAACAAGCAAGAAGATTAGCAGTTTCAATAATTTTAGGTAAGAGAACAATCTGAAAAAAAAACATAAAATGAGTATGTTTAGAATCCTTAAGGAAATTAAAAGGTAACAAACACCATGAAAGAGAAGAGGCGATATTGAAAAGGAACCAAATAGAAAATCTGGAAACGAAAAATTTAGTCATCGAAATTTAAAACAGAATAGGTGCATTGAATGTCAAGTTTAAAAACACAGTTGAAGAGAGAAAACAGAAAGGTAGAAATGGGAAATATGTTATCAGTAGAATGAGAAGTTTCATTATATAGCTACTAGGAGTTCTATAAGAAAATATGGGAGAGAAGCAAGAATTCAAAAAAGAATGCTTGAGAATTTTCCAGAATTGTTAAAGACAAAAATACCTAAATTCAGGAATGGTAAATCCCAAGCAAAATAAATCACTATAGATGCACATCTTAATAAGGCCAGCCATTGATAAGGGAAAGTCTTTAAATCAGAGAGAAAAAAATGGATTTCCTAGCAAGAAAAACAGCGGAGTGTGTAACAGACTTTTCGTTGGCTGGGAAATATCTTGAAAGTGCTAAGAGAAAGTAGCAATCAGTCTAGAACTTTATGCTCAACCAGCCTTTCAAGATTCTACCTTATGCAAACCCCTAAATATAAACCAGACAAGATACAATTCTATTAGTAAGTTACATATTTAATAAAAAAACAATGATTCATGTCCAAACTGTAAGGTGTGACCAGTGTTGGAGAGACTACTTTGGAAACAATTAAATGGCTCCACTAGAGGATACAGAGACAGAAGCCACACATAAAATCCATTCATTACATCATTCACAGACAAGTTACTGTAGGGAAATAGGCAAGTTACTATAGCAAAGAACATCCCAGGCAGATTTACACAATGTGCTATAGGAGATTATCAGTGAGAGGAATACAAGACCCCAAAAACACAGAGGAATCTTTATAATACTTCATAAAGAGAGAGTGACTATGAAAACCTTTGGTCCCACGAAGACACACTGGTTATCACATAGAAAAATATCTCTAAGTGGAGTTATGCACTCTTGCTTTTTTTTTTTTTTTTAATTTATTTTTTTGAGAGAGAGAGAGTGCTAGCAGGGGAGGGGCAGAGAGAGAGGGAGACACAGAATCCAAAGCAGGCTCCAGGCTCCAAGCTATTAGCACAGAGCCATACACGGGGCTCAAACTCATGAACCGCGAGATCATGACCTGAGCTGAAGTTGGATACTTAAGCAACTTAGCCACCCAGGTGCCCCGATACACTCTTGTTTTTTTAAAAGCTAGTGTTCCAAATTTATGACCTCTCTGTGATGACAACTGGCCATCATTAATAAGCCTCCAGATGCTTTCAAAATAAGAAACCTCTCCTTTAAGGAAAAGGTGATTGTGAAATGAGTAAGAACGTAATCAGTATTTGAAAGAGATTAGTGCTATAAAGAGACCATTATTTGCAAATATTTCCATGGTCATAGTGTTGCCAGTAATGATACTGCCTATTAAAACAGTATTATCTTGCCTTAAATTTTGATCACATCTCTCAGTTAAGCTGACAGTCTGATCAAAAGGGGGGAATTGTTAAAAAGAAAACCACAGGCCCAAATTGGCATCGCTTAGACCAAGTCACCAAACTGGGGCTTTATACCTAATTGCAATTTCAACCTTCCCCAGAAATTAGTCTTAACTGGTCAGGAGAAAATTTTCCAATCAGTACCGCTGAAGTCATCTGTCACATGGGCCTTCCATCTCCCAAAAGATGAGGTTAATTCACCTAACAAGACCTCCTGCCCTTCCGCACCAGGAAGGTGACCTTGCCTAGAACAGTCCTTTCTTTTGCTAATAACTTTCTTACCCCAACTTCCTTCCTATAACAATCCTCCATTTTGTACCATACCTTAGAGCTCTCCTCTACTTGCTAGATGGGATGATGCCCAATTTATGAATCACTTAATAAAGCCAATTAGACTTTCAAAGTTTAAAAAATAATATTATCTGCACACCTTTAAAACTTGGAAACAGAATTTGTCTGCATTAAACTCCATCCAAATGAAGTTACAGTATTTTTTTTTTAAGTTTAAGAAAGAGAGCACACACAAGCAGGGTAGGGACAGAGATTGAGAGAGAGAGAGAGAGAGAGAGAGTCCCAAGCTGGCTCCACACTGTCAGTACAGAGCCCAACGCAGGGCTCCATCCCACAAACTGTGAGACCATGACCTGAGCCGAAATCAAGAGTTGGATGCTCAACCAACTGAGCCACCGAGGTGGACCGAAGTTATAGTGTGTTTTAAACCCACTTATTAAAAATATAAAAATGCAACATATTCTGATTAATCTGCATAAGTGGGTGATTGACATGAGGGAAGATGGAACTCCATAGCTTTGTTTCAACAAAAACCTTCAAAACTAGGTAGATGGCACTATACAATGAACATTGTGATTTGGAGTAAGCATGGCCACTAATGTACTTCCTCAACTGGGATTTATGTAACTGAGTAACAACCTCCCTTTTTAAAACAAACTGAGTTCTTCATATTCATTTTTAATTAATATATTTGTAAAGGTTTTATAATGTATGTTACAAATACTACAAATTAACAATTGTAAATATGTTAAGCGAAGGGTATTATATTTACATAATATATATGGGTAATATTTACCCAGCTCTTGCTTACAAGGTGCCCAGCTCTGACTCACCTCTACACTTTGCATGTGCTGTTGCTACCTTCTGAAATTTCTCTTCCCTTTTCTCCAAATTCTTACTCATCCTTTATTCTATATTTAAACGCTGTGTCCTCTGTAACTCACCACGCTGCACATCCTTGTTCCATAACGTAGCATATTTTATTCATTGATATGTGCATTTCCCTCTCGACCCTATGGGCTCCATGAAGATTCAGAAGACTGCCTCAATTCTTGTGTTTATCATGCCCCATGCAGCCACCTTCTCCACTTCTTCCCCTACACTGTCCTGCTCCAGCCTCTGGAACATGGAATAGGAGCAATAATCATTAGCTTTGGGAATTAATGGAAGTGCCCTGGAAGACAAACCAAACTGGAAGACGATAGCAGTGGGAATCTTTTGATACTCTTAAAGTCCAGTTAAAATGGAGCAGCAGAGTTTCATTCTTAATTATGAATAGAAATATTTAAATGCCTAGGACGTAACTGAGACCTTACTATCTTTTGTGTAAAGGCTTGTCTTCTGATTCTATTTTGAAAATACTATTACTTTTGGAGATTCTGATTCTTAGACAAATAACCTTCAAATGCGTTCCTTAGAATTATCGTAACTACAGCTTTCAACATAACAAATATTATTTTGATGCAATGGCTTTCTAAATCTTGGAAATGTTACCTGCATATAATGTTTTTCCATTTTATTTTATACTTTCTGTGTTATACACTGGCTTTTTAATGAACATTTTCTCTCTTATCTTTGTGTGAAGTGTAACACATTTTTAGCTAAGGAAAGACGATGGTTGACATGTTAAAAGTCTTGCCCCAAATGATGTATGAGTGGGGTTAACACAAGGCTTTCTCTCTTCCTCTCATTCTTGAATGCAGAAATCCACTGCTCTAGCATGAGATTCACCCCCACAGCCGGGACTGCTCCACAGAACCATGGACAGCCCATGTTATCTTTTCTCTGACTAGCTGTACCCCCTTTCCCACTTCCCAGCTCTCTTTCATGTTTTCTATTTTCAGTGACCCAATTGAGACCTGCTATTGGCACCACCAACCTTGTCCAGCCCAGAGTACAAAATGTTCCGGCCCCCACAGATATCACTTTTGGAGATCTTCCCCCAAAACATTTTTTAATAACAGCAGAATCTATACAGATTAGCTGTAGGGTTTTTGTGATTTCCATGACTCGGTGGAAATTCTCTGGGGGGTTTCTCTTAAGGATCAAGAGGAAACCACGGAAAACGTTGCTTACTTTTAGATCTAATTTTTAGTCCTGTAACTTGAAAACTGTGTTGTCCATATGGACAGCTTTTTCAGATACAAGAAGTATACTGAAATTACAGGTGTCCCCAGATTCATGGATGTTTCTCAAATAACAGTAATAGTTTATTGAGCACTTCAGTCATGCCAGGTCCTGTGATAAGCACTTTCAGAGATTACCTCTTTCTATCCTCACAGAAGCCCTGTGAGTTGGAGGCTCAGCAGTCACACAGAGGCAGTGCACGTGGCCCAGGCAGATGAAGTGTCTTTCCCAGGGTCACACATTAGGCATCAGCAGAGCCAGAATGGTCTAACTCCTGAGATTCTGCATTTTCTACATATCATATTAAAAACCCCATTTTTACTTTTTAGAAATGAGTTAGCAATTTGAAAAGTACTTTCAGAAATAAAGAGTATGTCATATGAATGGGTTTCTAGAGCATCTTGATCCACTTAAAATTTGCAATGCGTCCCTGTGTTTCTAGGTGGTTGTTAAAAGGCTAATTGTACTTTAATTTGCAGGCCCAAGAAGCTAATACTGAAAGCTTTCAAACAATATTGGTTCATCTTTAAAGACACATCTATAGCCTACTTTAAAAATAAGGAGCTTGAACAAGGAGAACCAGTAGAAAAACTAAATCTGAGAGGTAAGAGAGTCCTACATGAGGGTATGGGTTTGTCATGACCCAGCTAGCATGCATATGAAAGCCAAGGTTCCTACCCAGTGAAGCAGGGTTGACTTCCAGAGGAACCGCTCTATCTCACTGGTTTCCACACAGCAGCCTGTCTGCAGCATTCTGCTGTCCTTTCTTCCCCAGTGTGGCCAAGCCTATGAAGTGGTGGTAATTGCTGTCATCAGGGTAGTACATGAGGCCTTGTAGGATCCCGAAAACTTTCTAAATTCCAGGATGGTTCTGTTTAATTCAGTGTCGCTTCAGTTTCTGTACCAATTTCTGAAAGTGGCTGTGAGTGTACTGGTAACTCCATTAACTGAAAATACTTAACCATTGCACTCAATTTCCTTATCATATGGTGACAGTGAGAAAACTCCCTCTGCCCTGATTTATTTTAAAAGTTTATATTCATAACTCAGTGCTACTATGAGGCAGAATAGCCAAACCAACCTGGAAAATGAATTCAGTTGATGACATGTTTAAAGTGATAAGAGGGGCGCCTGGGTGGCTCAGTTGGTTAAGCGGCCGACTTCGGCCCAGATCATGATCTCGCAGTCCGTGAGTTCGAGCCCCGCGTCGGGCTCTGTGCTGACAGCTCAGAGCCTGGAGCCTGTTTCAGATTCTGTGTCTCCCTCTCTCTGGCCCTCCCCCGTTCATGCTTTGTCTCTCTCTGTCTCAAAAATAAATAAACGTTAAAAAAAAATTTTAAATGATAAGAGAAAATAGTTTTTGTTATCCATGTTAGTTATTCATGAGTCTTATTTAGTTATCCTTTAATTAATGTTGTCTGCTTGCTCCTCAGTTTTTCAAAAGAGAACCAAATCTGAAGGGCTTACGTTCAAAGTGTTTCTTTTAGATGCACATCTGATATTGATATAACAGATTTCTCAGAACTCAGTTTTGTCCCTTCCTTTTATCATTCAGGCTGTGAAGTTGTGCCAGATGTAAATGTAGCAGGGAGAAAATTTGGAATCAAGTTACTAATCCCTGTTGCTGATGGTATGAATGAAGTGTATCTCAGATGTGATCATGTGAGTAAAACCACAAAAATGCTAACTCCCTTCACCTTTATTAAACCTAAGGACAAACCAGCTGAGATGCTTTCTCAAATCAGAACACTCATCAGTCAGCTATTACTTTGTAACAAACAACCACAAAATCAAATGACACATACCAGTAAACCGTGGTCTCTGAAACATCTATGGGCTTGGATGATCCAGCCTTGTGTCAGCTGAACAGATCTGCTTCCAGCCACAGGTCTGGCTAGGCTTGGCTCCTTACTGGAGGTAAGCGCACTGTATTCTGGGTACCCAGCTGCCTGGGGAGGCTCTGCTCATAGTGATGGCGGAAGTGCAAGAGAGGAACTACAAACGTGGCAGACCTCCTAAAACTTGAGCTTTGAGTGAGTACACTGTTATTTCCACCTACGTTCCATCAGCTAACGTAAGTCCATGGTGAGGCTCAAAGTCAAGAGGTGGGAAATTACACCCCGTCTCCAATGAGACAGATCGTAAAATTACATGGCAAAAGGTGTGGATACCAGGAGGATGAAGATTGAGGTCAGTAATTCAGCATACCATACTTACTGTTGCTCTGAAGAATTCGACCGTTCATCTGCATCCCCTCAGCTTCTGAGACCACTCCACTTGGTTCCCTGAGGTGAAAAATGAGCACACACAGTAAAGAACAATAGAGGCCGCCACTGACTGGTTCAGAGCCCATCAGTGGACCTGATTCCTACTATGGGATTCAAATCTTTAGTAAGAATAGGCCAGGGTAGACATTATATGGGAAATCAGTTAATGATTTTTTTCCTCATGTCCTTCTGTAATAGAGATCAGACATGATATGAAAATGGAAATATACATCAAGCAAGTCTGGTGGGTAGCTTGGGTTTTCATCTGTCTGTGCTCCATGGAGCTCCTGTGTCCTCGGTTTATCTTTAAATGCAAAGTTCTCTGCATGGAATTTATCACAGCTGACATTCCTATTCTCTAGCCCTTTAGCATAGAGAAACTCAACATGGGACTCAAAAGCTTTTGTTGGGTGTTAAATTAGGTGATTGACAGCCACTCAGAACATGTGCCACTTCACATCTTTCCTTGCTTGGTAGGTGACAGTTTGGTATATTGTCGAGATAAGAGCCCACCTCCTGCTCTGTTCGCAGCAGGGTGGCTCTGTACTTGAATTTGTGTCTCAGCCCTCTGATGTTTGCTGCAGGAGAATCAGTATGCCCAATGGATGGCTGCCTGCATCTTGGCATCAAAGGGCAAAACCATGGCAGACAGTTCCTACCAGCCAGAGGTTCTCAACATCCTTTCATTTTTGAGGATGAAAAATCGGAGCTCAGCATCTCAGGTGGCTTCCAATATCGAAACCATGGACATAAACCCGGAATGTTTTGTGTCGCCTCGGTGTGCAAAAAAACACAAGTCTAAGCAGGTACTGCTAATCTTGTTTGAGTGATTGTTTGCAGTAAATTCTGTATTTTCTGAAGTAAAATGAGGAATTAAAATGATTGAGGCCATCATCATGAAAAAATCAGCTCATGGGGATATTTGACTTTGGACTCCGTATTAGACCATGTTAAGAGATTATTGTTCATTTTGTTAGCGCTGACTACTGCTACCTAAACATGGTAATATTCCCAGATTTAATTAAAATTATTTAGTCCCCACAAATTAAAACTTTACATTGTGCTTCCATCAGAGGGGGTTAAAAAGTTACGTAAATAGACTGATGTAAGTGGAACCATTGTCCGTGGACACTATATAGACCCTAGAAAGAGGGACACAGAACTCTCCATCTCCATGAACCTTACAAGTTTATGTGTTGGTTGATCTTGTTCCTTCTTGTCCCCAGTGATTTACATGTTTTGTTTCAGAAGGAGAGAGAGGAAGCGAGAATGAATGAATGGGTGAATGAATGAATGAAAATGAATTCTCTTTGTAGAGCTACAGTTGGGCCTTGCATTTATTTTTCTGACTGGGGATCTGAGCCAAAAGGATGATTATAGAATAGTCACTGTATGCTAAGGACAGTTTGATGTCTACCACTTCTGCTTAGCTGGCAGCCCGGATTCTAGAAGCCCACCAGAATGTGGCTCAGATGCCCCTGGTCGAAGCCAAGCTGCGGTTCATCCAGGCATGGCAATCTCTACCTGAATTCGGCCTCACCTACTACCTTGTCAGGTGATTACAATGTTCACTTGCCTCTCTTGCTCTCTATGTGTTTCTAAGTGCCTTTCTTGGATCCCAGTTTCTTCTCAGTCTAGAACATAGAACCCTTTTTATTTTAGAATATTGTCCTTTCACAAATGGCCCAAACACACTGGCTGCCCATAACAATCTTCTATACCTTCTCTTCACAGACCTACCTGGGCTCCCTGCTTCTCCCCTTGTTCCCTAAGTTTTCAAGTTGGCAGCCTGAGTGATGTGTTTAAGATCTGAGTCAAACCATGGCAGCCTCTGCCCAGAACCATCTGAAGGCCTTCTGGCTCACTCAGTGTATAAGCCAAATCCTTACAATGGTCCTACAAGACCTTAGCTCCAGAATTTCACACCTCTGCTCCTCCTTCACTGTGCCCAGCCCCACCGGCCTCCTGTGACAGGTCTTTGAGCGTGCACACACACACACACACACACACACACACAAATACATACATACATACATACATACATACATACATACATACATAAAATGCTGCAGCCTTGCACTGGCTATGCCCTCTGCCTACAATACTCTTTCCCCAGATACCCACATAGCACAGTCCCTCACCAGCATCTTTAATCAAGTGGCCTCTCTCACTACAGCCTACAGTTGTAAAACTGTAACCACCCCATTTGCCAGTATTCCCCAGCCCCATTCTGTGTTTTATTTTCCTTTATGATCTTATCTGCCATATATATTTCACTTACTCATGACCCTGTCCCCCCACTAGAATACAAGCTCCATGAAGATAGACATTTTCTATCTACTGAGATCACTACTATATTCCTTGTGCCTAGAACAGTGCGTGGCACACACAGTTGGCAATTTTAAATTAATTGACTTGACCCTTTCTTACTTTGCTTTCCCATGATGTCAGTTTTATGTAAATGATGTGTACAGGGCAGCCTTATTAATTCTCTCCATTCTTCATATGTTCTTCATATCACAATAAAAACACCCTTCTTCTGTAGAAAGCTAATCCTTCACTGTCCATTCTTTGGATGCCATTTAGAAATGTTCATATTATCTTTAAGAAGTTGTATATGAATGAAAATCATATTACAGGAAGCAGTTGCTTCTTTTAATTCATATTTTTTTTTAGATTTAAAGGAAGCAAGAAAGATGATATTCTGGGAGTTTCCTATAATAGGTTGATTAGAATCGATGCAACCACTGGGATTCCAATTACAACATGGAGATTCACAAATATGAAGCAGTGGAATGTAAACTGGGAAATCCGGCAGGTACAGTGAAAGTTTTTGGTACATTCAGCGTTGAGCCTATATATGTGTGTTCCATCGGAATTGTACATTATTCTGTTCATACATTTAGAACTCAGAAACCACAGGCATATGGTCATTGTCTGCTAAAATAATCACATGCAATTCTGGGCAGTTTCCTAACAAGTACAGACCGAATGGTTTTGAATTAACACCATGGGTTGGCTTAGTCTCCATATGGACTTGCCATACATACTCTAAAATTGCTGAGCAATTTGACTAGTTTCCTTCAACTCAGCATAGGATTATGTAAGACTTAGACTGAATTACTTAGTGGAAACTACCTGAGAACTGTCACCCAAAATGAATCCAAAAAGGCCTCATCTAATGGCTGCCAAGAAGTCCAACTAGTTGAGGACTCAGAGGCTCAACTGCCCACCTGGAGAGCATTCCAGTCCCAAAAAGTAAAAACTACTAGAGAAGCAAGTGATGTGAGCAGGGATGACTGAGAAAAGCTTTGCCTCTTGAGTTAAGGGGACCCCAAACCGTCTGCCTCCCGTTAATGGCACCCCAGGAGCTAAGTTCAAGCCAAAGCTATAAGCTGGGAAATTGTAGATCAAGTCAGAGGCGCCTTAGCATCCAGATGATTTAACACATTCTGATATTGATAAAGAATCTTTTCTCCTTTGTTTTCTCATTTTTCCAGTAGAAAGCCATCTACCTAGAGGGATGATAAGAGACATACACTGTATTTTAAATTTTTTTAATGTTTATTTTTGGGAGACAGAGCACAAGCAGAGGAGGAACAGAGAGAGAGGAAGACACAGAATCAGAAGCAGGCTCCAGGCTCTGAGCTGCCAGCACAGAGCCCAGTGCCGTGAGATCATGACCTGAGCCGAAATTAGATGCTCAACCAACTGAGCCACCCAAGCACCCCAAACTCACACTTTTTTTTAAAGAACCATGGATTCCTTTCAGTGGAGGCACTCATTTGTAGAATAAAAGTCTGAGATTAGGTGGCCTCTAAGACAGTGGCTCTAAATCCTGGTTGAGTATTAGGATCACCTGGGGAACTTGAAAACACCACTGCCCAGGCCACATCCTAGACCAATCAAATCCCAGTCTCTGGGAGTGGGAGCCTGGCATCAGTAATTTTCAAAAGTCCACTTGGGCAACCAAGGTTTGAGAACCAGTGAAGAATGTTTCTTCTGATTTAGAGTTTGTGACTTTCAGCTGGGAAGGGGTGCAGGGCTGTTGGGTGCAGGAAAATTCAGGGAAGCCTTTTATTCTCCATCCAAAAGTCTGCAAAGTACCCTGCCCCTGGACAGATAGAATGCTTAGGAAGTTCTTAACATCTAAACAAGAGTGACAGAAAGTATCTATGTGTGCTGGGAGTTAGAATGTTTTCCCAAATGTATAGCAAAGTTGACACCACAAGAGGGCGCAAAGAGAGCAAAGACAAGATTGCTGTAAGCGTCTAATGGAAGTGGTGATTGTTTTTGGAGTTGTTTTGGAGGGTTTGGTTTTGTTTTTTGTCTGTGGGGTTCTGGGGAGAGAGAGGGAGAGAAATACCAAGCAGGGGGAGTTATCTGTAAGCCACCTAGGCAGTCCTCAGCTCTGACGCCATCACAAGGCGTTTTTTTCCTCATTTTCCTTGTCAGAGTTTAAGCTTACCTGTGCCTTCCTCTTCCAGGTGGCAATCGAATTTGACCAGAATGTCTCCATTGCATTCACCTGCCTGAGTGCGGATTGCAAGATTGTGCATGAATACATCGGTGGCTACATTTTCCTGTCCACCCGGTCCAAAGACCAGAATGAGACACTTGATGAGGACCTGTTCCACAAGTTGACTGGTGGTCAGGACTGAAGCAAAACAGATCTGCCTACACAGACAGTGAGCCAAGGATGGTCCTCCCTGGACATATGGGATCCTTGGCCCACCCAATGTGTAGAGTCCAGACTGACAGACAACCATATACTTACCGCTGGTCACTCAGATGAGGATCCTTGCCTCATTTCAAACACACTGCCTAGCATATCCCTTTCCTTTTGTTTGCCCTGTCCTACCAGTAACAGAGGAGGCCTCAGTTGCCTTTTCTGTAAAATGGGTAGGTAGAAGACAGGCTAATACTACTATATCCCAGTATGTAGCTACAGTTCTGTGACTTCCAGAACCTGCGAGTGTATGGCCAGAAGTCACCAGTGTGCCTTTCTGCTCTGTTGCTAAGTCAGCGGAAAGACAGAAAGGTTAAAAGCACATGTAGCCAAGGATCTACCTTACTCCCTAACTCAGGTACAAAAAGAAATCTGTCTTTCCTTAACAGAACTGCTTTTAGTTCCCATATTGTGAAAATGGCAGAGGGAGTCCACACTCACACGTTTCCCCTTATAGGTCAAGGTCTGGGGGAGGGGAGGGGAGAGGTGGGGGTACCTGGTACTAGTTGGTGACAAGGGGTCAGAGCAGTGGCCTGCAGTGTCATCAGTTCACAGTGACTTCTGCAGAGGTGACTGCTGACCCATCTGGTCTTGGACATCGGTCCCCTCAGGTTACTGCTGCCACCTGCAGCTCCTTTTCCATTCCTCGGCCACCTTTAAGTCCTTCCTGATGACGCGGGTGACATAGAGGAACAGGGAAATCCATTCCTCAACCCAGCTGCATGTCTCAACTGCTTCTACTCTGAGCTGGGGCTCAGGAAGATGGGTCTAGTTCTCTCTGTTCATAAAAACCACCTCCCTGCATCCAGGCTTACAATGGGGTCTCCGTCCCAGCTGGTCATGGAGAGAAGGACAAACCTCTTCTCCAAGATCACCAAGTTCAGGGGTTGATGGCTTCCTCACTGGCTTCCATCTACATTTGGTAAATTAGGAGCTGATAATAGACCTTTTTTTTTTCTTTTTGCTCTTGTCACCTCTACCTCCAGACATGAGCGTGAGCCAATTAATAACTGCCCTCAATTGTCATTTTCTGTTTTGGTTTGTCAGCTTTGGGAGGAATGGGTTTTGAGAAGGAAAGAAGCAGTATCAGGGGTAGTGGGTAATATCAGATAGCATTTAATTATGTTTTTATAAATGTTCTCCTGTCACAGAAAGGACTTGGGTTGCCAGGGTAAAGCAGAGGGTCCATTTCCATTTTGAAATTCTTTTAAGATCCACTGTGCTTTATTTTCCAACTAAGACATTTGAGAAGAGAGATCTCCACTGCTCCAGGAACCACATTAAGACAGCCCTGTCTAGGGAACCCCAGGCCCTGAGCTGGAAGCTGTTGCTTGAAAGTCCTCTTTCAGCCCCTCCTTTAGAGGTCAATGTTCATGAAAACTCCCCAGGCACCAGCTGAACTTCCAAGGCCCAGCTTAAATCTAGGAAGTGGCTTAGGCACTTGGAAAGTCTGGTCCACATCATAAAGAACTTTGCTTGAAATGTCTTCTATACAAACTAGTGCTGAGCATACTGTTTTACTTGGTGTTGGTCATTTCTACATAGTCTTAGGCTCTATTATTTTAGAACCTAAGTCAGGTCTTTAATATGATGTCAGGCCCTAGGTTAAAATAATGCTGCTTGAGGCCACATGTCACCTGTCTGCTGCGAAGCACAGCTCTACATAACCAGAGCTGGACCTTCAGTATAACTCTCTTCCTTGGCTTTCCATGGTTGCCTGACATTTCTATGAAAACACTCAAAGGAGGTGACTGGTCTTCACCAAACTTTCCAGGGAACACTTCTTCCATGACTATACGACCACATCCCAAGAGTGACCACCAAAGCCTAAATGCTGCTATTCCCAGGAGCAATGTAAGGACTCTTTTTATACTGGGTGCAAAAGGTCATCTGACTTCCTATGATGAAATTTTAAATTAACGTGTCTTTCAGCCTCCTTCGCTTTCTTATCTATACTAGATGGGGAAATCTGCATTTTTTACTATTTTTATGAATTTTTTTAATTAAAAGCTTTATCTGGATTTGAGTATCGTCTGGTTGTGTCCTCTCCAGTCTGCTGTCTCTAAACAGGTGAATATTTTCTACCCCCTGAGAAAGGAATGCAACTTTCAAGTTTAATGCGTAGAATTCCAAGATTCAAGCTCATTCCTCCCCGTGAGATTGACTTAGAAACCTCACTTATCTGTTGGCTTTAACTGGTTTCCCATTGAAGGTCCCTAGATTTCCTGACATCATAAGCTCTTTTTTCCACATCTACATTTTAGAAAAAGCATGAGAGAGCCAACAAAAACCCAAAGGTGAAGGAGCATCAGAGGGCCTCTGACTTGATGGATGAATTTCCAAAACATTTGGATTTGATTTAGCTGTAGATGGTCCATAACAGGTAGTAATGTGCAGCTTATAGATGTCCCTTCATACAGTTCTCACGTCAACCCATTGTGGGGCAGGAATGGCTTGCCTTCTCATTTCACAAAGGAGGAAACAGGTTCATAAGGTGAAATAACTTGCCCAAAGCCACACCACCAGTAAGCAAAACCAGAATTCAAAGCCAGGTGTGTCTTACTAACACTGTCCAAAGACCTACACTGTTGGCATTTTGGGTTCTGTCTTTTCAGCCTTTATACCAATTTGTATACTGGTTTCTGGTTTTGTATTTTAATATTATATCTATTAAGTCATTACACATTCATGGAAATTGAATAAGTCATGAGATATTCACTGAGGAAAAAAGAAGAGTAGCTATTTAACTGCTGGCTGAATGCAAAGTAAGGGGCTATGATTCTGCCTGAAAGCAGCTTAAAACGTCCCCACCTTCACACATTTCCTCCACCTTCCATCCCCCACATCTGACAACCATCAATCTATTCTATGAGTTTGTTTCTTTTAGATTCCACATATAAGTAAGATTATACAGTATTTGTCTTTTTCTGCCTGACTTATTTCACCTAGTATGATGCCCTCAAGGTCCATCCATGTTGTTGCAAATGGCAGAATTTCCCTCTTCTTAGTGGCTGAATAATATTCCATCGTGTATATATACATGTATATATATGTATATATACACCTCACATACACACACACACATTTTATCTACATCCATTTACCCAGCAATAGACACTTAGACTGTTTCTATATCTTGGCTATTGTGAATAATGCTGCAATGAACATGGGAATACAGATATCTCTTCAAGACAGTTATTGTATTAGCCTGATCAAAAAGGAAACTGAAACAACAAAAACAGAAAATCCAAGCCCCCACCTGAGAGCATATGTCTCCTCATCTGTAAAACAAGGGTTTGGATTGTGCGGTTTCTTACAGCCCTTCGTCTCCAGCATTCCTTGGTTGTGGTTCATTTTCCCCACAATCCACTTGGGGTACATCCTCCACTCCTATGCACCATGCACACACTTTCCTTCTGAAACTCTAGCATCACTCTGCCAACACGGGCCCATTATTCAAGTCAAACCACATAGTTCTATAACTCGAATTTCAGGGCAGGTTGACAGGCTGCCCTGACAAATAAACCACAGGGGCAAAACAGATACCAAGAGGTTAAATGGTTGTGCCAACCAATGTCAGAGCAAGTCAGATCTTGTGTCTGCCTCCCCAGATAATATCCTCAACAATAGAGTTGTTATTACATGGTTAAAAGAATTAGAATGCTAACATGTATTAAGGAGTATCACTTGTGCTTCCCATGAGTCCTCTCAATTCAGCCTCTGGGTAAGGTAAGTATTGTCAGCCTCATTGTACAGATTAGGAAACATGCAGTGGTTGCTGGTAAATACAGGGGGAGACCTGATTCACCCATTTCCTTGGTGTAAAGACTCCCACCGTAGACAGCATGGCATCTGTGAAAACAATTGGGAAGATACCCAGCTCTCTGACAGGGACAAGCCAGCTCTAGCATACACCGGAACTACTGTGTATAGAGTCAAGCAACTTGTATTTTAATAAGCAACTTGTCAAGGTCACCCAACTGGAGTGTTGAAAGCAAGGATTTGAACCTAGACCTCCTGACTTGAGTGGTATTCTCTAGCACCACTTGATAATCCTGTGTGAATGGCAAGGCCTCTTGAGTCAAGAGCCCTAGATTGTCTTTATTTGCGATAATCCCTCTTGAGGTGATTTGTCCCCATCCCACCCCAACATACGTCAGTAAGGCCTACAAAACTCCACATTTTTTTTTCCTTCAATTACATTATACCAGATTTCAAATGTCAAAAGAGTGAAATTTTCTACTAAAAAAATTTTTCAGATCCCAACGGCTGGCCCACTTGTCCAATATGATACCTGATTGCAAATTTGGGTCAGAGGTAGAATTCAGGAGGGTGGGAAAGAGTTCTGCCTTCTTCCCAGCAAAGAAAACACCAACCCATGACCAGAGAAAACCCCATCCACCCCCATCCCCACAAATGGTTGGCCCTGATCCTGCCATTGCATATAAGTGATTAATGCCAATTCCACCACAGAGAGGCAACTTTCCCTCAGGGTCTGAGCTCTGTTTTTAGAGGCTGAGTGAAATGTTCTTATTCTGACCTTTTCCTCCCTTTACAAATGGTTCTTTGAGTCAGGTAGACATCAGAAGAGCAAATGGGCAGCCAAACACTTGGCAAGAAGCTGTTGAATAATCCACTCATTATAACCTAAGCAAAGTTCATTCTAGGACAAGGGGCTGCAAATGCTACTGTGTTTGGGGGGAGGTGATGTACACAGACACAGTCAGATATGAGACACAGGGATTTGCGAAGCATGCCCTGACTAGTAGTCACAGATCTTAAAATATGTGAATAATCTCTAATATATCCGAGAACCTAATGTAGCCTATGGGCCTACAGTTGTCAATCCATGCTAGGGTTCAGCCAACTGTATTTCAGCCAGTTCAGTTAAACAAACACATACACACAAACACACACATGTATATAATCTAT